GACCGAATTGCCTCGATACTACCGAGTATCGAAACATGTCTTGTTTTTCGGTACCACATTTCGGTACCTAAGTGGTTAATCTCGTCAAAGTCAGTGAAACAATAAGCATGCAGCATGATTGGCTGTGGCGGAAAAACACTAGTTTACGCGGCTGCCCAGAGACGCGGCTCGTCGCACGTGAGGCTGCAGTGTGTGTGTGTGTGTGTGTGTGTGTGTGTGTGTGTGTGTGTGTGTAAGCGTGCGTCCCAACCCAGATAGATAGAAAATATGTGGAAATGATCCAAAGTGTACCTATGTCATGTGCCAGACTCGATGCCAGATGCACGCGATGCAATATTTTCGACAAGATCATTGCTGCCAAGACCGGCAACACGGTAAATCTAGGCACTGAAGCGCACAAAATACACTTGAGAGTAATGGTGTTCACATCGAACGCGAATAGAGCGTCAAATACGCGTCTATCGCGTCTAGTTCGACGCTTGAATCTCCAGCTCGAGTTCAAATTTTTCAACTTGCGCGGAAGACGTTCGCGGCAAACGCGTCACCCAATTCGCGTCATTCGCGACGCCCGGCGCGAATGATGCGTCTATTCGCGTCTTTGCATTGACTATGTATGTAATCTACTCGCACAAATAATTAAATTCGCGTTCGGTGTGAACACACCATTAGTAAACACTTGTTCATTAATAAATAATTAAAATATCTCCTTGCTATTGTTTCCACATCCATAATCATTAGGCTACTTTTGCCAGTGCTTTGCTGCAAGCTTCACGTGCAGGTATATATCCCGCCCCCCAGTAGCCTATATTTAATTTAATTCACATTTATTTGAATAGCATTTTTCACAATACATATCGTTTCAAAGCAGCTTTACAGAAAATGCATGTCTAAATTACAATTTAGAGTGATCTGTTATCAGAGGTGCATTAAGTTAAAGCAGAAACAACGAGCTCATTGAAGTAAAGAATACATGTTGTTAAATGATTAGGAAACATAGAAAACTTTAGCATTGGTGCTTTTTTACAAACTCAAAATATGAGTGTAAAAAAGTCAACAAACTGAAAAAAAAATTAGGTAATGTTATATTGTTAAACCTGGTTACATAAAATTGGTATCGAAAAAAGTATCGTTCAGGAACCGGAATCGAAGTCAAGGTATCGGTATCGGTACCGAACATTTTGTTACGATACCCAGCCCTAGTTTGTTGATCAATGTTTATATGTGAATAAAAGCCTACATTCAATGTTCATCATATAAAGTGATCGTGTCTCTTCAGAAAATTTGGACTAAACCGCTCAATAGACCAATTTCCAGCCGACGTCACAGTTGCGTCACGGCACTAGCTGGTGGCAGAACAAAGGGAAAACTGGAGGCGGCAAATACAAACCAGCACAGATTCGGCTACAAAATAAGGATCTTAAATTATTCTTCTTATTATTAAATGTCATCTTGTTGTGTTGTTGGGTGCAAGAATCAATGAAAAATGAATATGCTTTATCTGCATTTTTTTTATTTCTAGAAAATATTCACCTCATTAAAATTGCACCGTAATGTCACTCTTTACATTGTCGTCTTCATCGCGCTGGCTCAGCAGAACTGCGGATCGTACCACACAAGTCTTGTACTTGACCATTCAGCACATAGTTATAGGCATCTAAAGATTTATATGCCCTCTGTTTCTCTATCGGGTAGGTGTAGAAGTCAGGCCACTCAACCGGAGGTAGCGTTAACGTTAATACTGTCAGATCCTCAATCAATGAGTGTAAGGGTCGGCCAATCTGGTTCCGTCCGTTAAAATTAACTTTTGCAAAAAACAATCGTGGTCCTGGACAGTGAGCGACCTTGCACATTAAGATAAAATCGGATTTTCTCCAGCCATTGTTAAAAACAAGCTAACAAAACTTGCAGACTTTACGTTAGTGAAGCGGCCAGAGGGATCGTTCTGCCACCACCTAAGCTCCGCCCACAGAAAAACGTCACCATGTTTACCAACTGAAAATTGGTCTATTCATCTGGATTAGTTTTACGATCTCTTTATGAACTTTTTAAAGCGTCAATGTGTCAGTTGCGCAGCAGTCAACGGAGGGACAGAGAGCTCTCAGATTTCATCAAAAATGATCTTCATTTGTGTTCCGAAGATGAACGAAAGTCTTACGTGTTTGCAACGACATGAGGGCAAGTAATTAATGACAGAATTTTCATTTTTGGTGAACTATCCCTTTAATGGACTTTTCATTACAGGGTTAGAACTAGCAGCCTTCCATTTACCAGCTCTGATTTCACAATGCCACACCAAAAACAAGTTTTCCAATCATGCTGTCAAGAATAGGCTTTATGCCGAGCGTCACGTGACCAAGCCGGAAAACAGGTCACATCGCTTCCGATTCAGGTCTTTTGTATGTGCTTCATGAAATTTTTTGCGGTTTTACTCAAGATAACTTAAAGGGATAGTTCACTTTGAAATTAAATTTTTATTTATATGTTTTAGCTTACCTCCAGTGCATCCAAGATGTAGGTGTCTTTGTTTCCACAGTATCTTCAATTTTGATAATTTTAGGTAAAACCGTTGTTGTCTGTCAGTCATACAATGGAGGTGAAGGGGGTCCTCCTCAAAGAGCAGTCAAAATTAAACATTATTTAATGACTCGTAAATGTAAGTACACATTGATGCCCTAAGACACGAAACGAGTGGTTTTTGTGAGAAAACGAACAGTATTTATATTGTTTTTACCTCTTGTAACCACAGCCATGTCCAAGTTATCTGAGGGCGCGGACGCTTCCGTGTGTGACGTGTACGCAGACTGGTGCATAGATAAACTAGATGTCGCCTTGGCGACGGCAGTTCATTGGAACGAAACCTTAGCCAAGGCGACATCTAGGGTATATATATCTATGCACCAGTCTGCGTACACGTCACACACGGAAGCGTCCGCGCCCTCAGATAACTTGGGCATGGCTGTGGTTACAAGAGGTAAAAACAATATAAATACTGTTCGTTTTCTCACAAAAACCACTTGTTTTGTGTCTTAGGGCATCAATGTGTACTTACATTTACGAGTCATTAAATAATGTTTAATTTTGACTGCTCTTTGAGGAGGACCCCCTTCACCTCCATTGTATGACTGACAGACAACAACGGTTTTACCTAAAATTATCAAAATTGAAGATACTGTGGAAACAAAGACACCTACATCTTGGATGCACTGGAGGTAAGCTAAAACATATCAAAAATTAATTTCAAAGTGAACTATCCCTTTAAAAGGAGCACGCAAAAATGAGCACAACCAATGTCCCTAGCATGTGCAGATTGATATTTAAAAGTTTTTTAATTTTTCTTCTTCACACTAACGTTTAGATATTTAAACAGCATAAAACACCAATAACAAAGTGAACTTAGTAGGTTAGCTGATTACCTTAAAAAACCATAGATATCGTAGTTAGTTCTTACGGCCGTTAACACTTTCTCTGACAAGCGGATGCAATGAGACCTGTTTTCCGGTTTGGTCACGTGACGCTCGCCATAAAGCCTATAGGCTTTTCTTTGCTTTGAATGTGTCCATCTGCAGCAGCAGTAGTTGTTGATGTTAAACTACAGCTTTTCGCAAAGGTTGTATCAGCTAAAATTATGAAATTTATGACAAGGGCAAACAACCCCAGTGCATCATCTCCCCTCTTGACAGTCAGTGAGTAAACACATTCAGGTGTGGTGTTCATTGGGTATTTATTCTGTGTGTTTTCCTCTTTCTTTCTTTTTGTATGAGGCAGTATAGTCAGTTCCCATCTGTTGAGCTTGTGGACAGCGTTGGTTGTCTACGGGGTGAATCTCACAAAACCAATCAACAAACCATGTCTTGGTCATATTTCACCTAAAATAAAAAAAGAATGTTGTTTTGATAAAAGAAAAACGAAGCCTGTTTCAAAATCATTCGGGTTTTTTTTTTTTGCATTGTTCATTTGTGTCAATATACACAACTGTTCAATAGTTTGGGGTTGGTAAGACTCTTTAATGTTTTTGAAAGAAGTCTGTTCTGCTCACCAGGGCTGTATTTACATGATCAAAAATTCAGTAAATACTGTAATATTGTGAAATATAACCGTTTTCTATTTGAATATATTTGTAATTTATTTCTGTGATGGCAAAGCTGAATTTTCAGCATCATTACTTGATTACATCAATTTTGAAAACAGTTGTGCTGCTTAATATTTTTGTGGACACGATACATTTTATTCATTATTTCTGATGAATAAAGTAAAAAAATATATATATATATATTTTTCGGTCACTTTTTTTTAAACAATTTAATGCATCCTTGCTGAAAAGTATGGAAGCAAATAAGAGACATAACTATTTGAAATTTAACAGCCACTGAATACTTAGTTTTGAAATATTTTATTTTGAAAAACATTTATCTGAATTTATTTGCTCTGAATTCACCCCTTTGAAATAATTTTACTTTGGAAACCATGTATCTGAATTTATTTGTTTCGAATTTACCTCTTATTTGCTTCCATAGAAAAGTATATACAATTTTTTTTTTTTTATCTTATCATTCAGTAACTTATTAACAGTAGTGCACATTATTTAAATTGTATATTATTATTTAAATTGTAAATTATATGTAGGGTATGAAAGTATTTGTCTCTGAATTTAATTACATTTTTATTTAGCAGGATTTCTAATCACTTTTGAGAATAATTGGAATTACATAGTCAAAATATTATGATAAAGATAATTCTTTAATTGCCATAAACAGTAAAGCTCAAAGAATCTTAATGTTCCTGAATAAGCTACATTTTCATTATGGAATTGTGTACATATAATTGTTTATTTTACCCCTAAATCAAAAGAAAAAAGACCCTGGCACGTTTTTGTGTGATTCATCCACAGAGTTTTTTATAATTATATATCTTCCCTAGAGCTGACTTGACTCTTTCTGTCCACCTGTGTGCTTTGTCTCCCTTGTGGTTCATAATTTATTTCTCCTCTCTGTCTCTTTTAGGTTTTTAAGGTGAAAGCTGTCCAGCTGGCAGAAAAGCTGCTTCCTGCCTTCAACACCCCAACAGGCATCCCCTGGGCCATGGTCAATTTGAAGAGGTAAGTTCCATACACACCTTGCCTTTCACTCCTACATCCTTTCTCTCCCTTTTTTTTATAATTTCTTTTTTTTTTTTTTGCTCTTTGCTACTGCCTAATTTTTTTCCCATGCTGCCTCCACTCATTGTCCTGATGGTGACTGCCAAATAATGGAAAGCTGTCAGACCTTTTATGTCTGTGAAAGTCCCTGTGGCTTTCTTCCTGTTTAACTCGACTTTCCACATAATTTCATTAGAATGAAATGAAAATTGCTAAATTAAATCTGCGGAGCGCATTGTGAATGTACATTAAGGTTTTTTTTCTTTCTGTGTGTGTTTGAGGAGGGAGGGAGGTCAAATCCTGCCTGACACGGTTTTTGTGAATTAATTGGGTGTTTAGAAGAAATTGCTTAAGACAGACAAAACCACTGCATTTTGGGTGTTTTTAATCCTGAGGGAAAGAACGACGCTGTGTTTTATTAATCCTCATTCTTATAGAGCAGCATTTCTCTCACACACACACACACACACACACACACACACACACACACACACACACACACACACACACACACACACACACACAGTCTAAGTGAATGGTGTGGATACATTCTAAATGGAAATGAGAAGTACAAGTAGAACACAGGATATTGGTCTTGACAGAGGAGTGATGGGCGGCAGTGAATTAGTTTGGGGCAGGAATGAAGCAGTTGACTCAAATGAGCTCACCGTAATTCTTCATTGTCTACACGCTGTAAAGGTATAAAGGTGGATGTTTGCTTCAGGCTAGTAAGAAACATACTGTACGTAAATGTCATGGGTTTTGCCTTCTGTCTTTTTCAGTGGAGTGGGTCGTAACTGGGGCTGGGCGTCAGCTGGAAGCAGTATTCTAGCAGAGTTCGGGACGCTGCACATGGAGTTTGTGCATCTGACATATCTGACAAGAAACCCTGCTTACTATCAGAAGGTACGACTGGCTTTGAGTGTTGTAACTATTCAGCCCTTGTGTTCGTGTCCTGTTGTGAACTATGTTCTGGTTTAGGTGATGCACATACGGAAGCTGCTGGCTAAGATGGACAGACCCAATGGGCTTTACCCCAACTACCTGAATCCTCGCACAGGACGCTGGGGCCAGCGTGAGTACCTCCCACTAACATCCTGTGTGCTGCACAAGAAACTCTCTTTCCACTCTAGAAAAGGCTTTGTATGAATTCCCACACTCTATGAAATGAAGAGGTTTCCAAACACCCACAACGTGAACTTGATGCTATGATAAACGAAAAAATACATGGCACACACAACTGTTGGCTGAAATCGTGCATTTTTAAGTAGATGGAAGAATTTCCTATCAGCATTGAATAATAGATTTCAACATTTCCTTGGACTCTTTCTAATATCTTAGATGAATTTTGTGTTTCTAAATTCGTCATGTTTTGGGACTGCATTATCCATGAATGCTACATACAGTGCTGCCTTAGATTCAACATTTTGCTGCCTATTGTTTGGAAATGCTTTGTAAGTTAAGTAAACTGATATACTAGACTCAAAGTATATCCAATATATTTATGTTGTTGTTTTCCTCGTCAGGCTCAATTTTTACTTTTAAATTTTCAGCTGACCCCATCCCAAAACAATATTTTATTTACTGTATATATGTAACATTTATCTAGTACCAGAAAGACATTCATAAAAGGGTTACATTTTATTTACAAAAAAATAATGTTTTTGATAATAAGCAATATCAATGGCAGCTGTACATTCATTCATAAAAAGCATTTTGTTGGAAAAATGATTCCATTCAATGCAAAACAATACTGATTGGTTTTGTATTTTTCAACCCATTCTTACTGATGCTGCCAAGAATTTCACAGGTCAGTCTTGAGACTTTAACAAAAACTCTGTTAACCCTCTGGGGACCAGAAACGCGCCGGCGCGTTTTGCTCGTTTTTTTTTTCACATAGCAGAAAAATAGACTTAAAGTACTACCATAATTTCTGTTCATATAGAGTTAAGAAATATGAGAAAATAATCTGTTAAATGTCTACTTTTTTATGTGCCCACATACAATCGAAATAAAATATTGTGCTTTTGTAAAATAAAGAATATAAACAGGGTGTGCATTCTGCCTCTCCGTCACCGTGAACTTTTTTTCTGGAGCACGTCTCTAATCTTCAACACAACTCAGCTAATACTATTCACCCAGCCATAAGAAATATATCTTTTAAATCATTTGAGTTTGTACTTTTAAATGATCCGATTCAAAACTATACAAATATTCTCCGTTTATGTCATCTATATAAAAAGAGAGACGTGTCAGCCGTTCTAATTATCTTTCTCTCAGCTCATTATCTCTGGTAATGTGACACGCCCACACTGTAAAACCTGATGAGTTAGTTCAACTCAAACCGTTTGAGGAAACCGATTGCCTTAAATCATTTAAGTTTATTAACTCAAACAATTTAAACTTAAAAAAATATTTGATTTGTGTTCAAGTAACTCAATAACTTATTGTTAAGATAACTTGGGTAAATAAAGTTAATAGTACTAATTCCATTCAGTTAATATAACTTAAATCTATGAAGTACACTGTAAACCCAAAAAAGTTGGCAGAACTCAAAATACTTTTATTAGTATAAACTTAGTTAGCTTTAATAAGCTAATCTGCTAACATAGTAAATGCTAACATATTAGCAATAGTATGTTATACAGAAACACTTGCTGTATGTGCACAGCAATATAAATGGATTATTTGCTCTCAAATCAAGCTGCATGCACCACTTGTCACCATGATGGTAACTATCCTAAAGCCAACATTAACAGAAATTCTTCTAAATTAGCATAACAAAACATGAATCACTACTAAATCTCACACATAACATTAATCTTACACACAAAAAAAAAACATTATATTACACTTAATTTTAGCATTTACTCTCCCTTTCGAGTGCCATCGGCAAAGCATGCTGGGAAATAGACATCACAGCTGTTTCAGTTAAACTTAAGTTCGTCTAAATTAAAATAAATAATTTCATAAAACTCAAAACAATGAAACAGTTCAGTTTACTTAAAATATATCAGTTCAGTGAACTTGAAAGAAAAAGAAAGTGCTAAATACTCATAAAAGTTAATTTGACTGAACTAATTTGTTTAATTTAAGTTTGTCCTACTCAAACCAATTAATTATTTTGAGCATTAGGGTTTACAGTGCACGGAGAGCACACGCTATTCAAACGCAAATATGTGAAGCAACACATTGAGACGCGTTAACGCCCATAAACTCTGAAAACACTATATTTTTTAGTCAGATTAATCTACTGTCGTCTTGCGCGGCTATATGAGGAACAATCCTGGGACATTTACCACAGAACAAGTGCTGGTTTATTTTCACTTCGAGGATGAGCAACAGATTCAGCTGAGAAGTAAGTGTTTTATGCAATTGCTTTGTTCTAATCGCGATATAGAATAACGTTAATGTCTGTTAACGGAAAAATAGCATACTGTTTAAATGTGAATCATGTTTGTGTGTGTGAATGAATTAATGAATGAATGAATGAACGCACAGATACGCACTGTTACAGACTAAATAAAAGACAACATTTCGACTAGTTTTGGATAAAGTTTTTACTCTAAAATAGACATCAAATAAGCTTTTGTTAGGAGTTTCTGCTCATATGTTAAATATATAGTATGTTTTGTCAATAAACTAATCAACTCAGATGTTAAAGTGTTTGTTCCAATGCAAGCTATATCAAAATAATGAATCCTCAACTTTGAAATATGTATGATCAAACTAAGACATTTATGGAAAAAGACCATTTTCTTTTCAAGATGTTTCCAACTCTAACTTTGAACTGAAATAAAACCATGTCTATATGGTGAAGGGTGTGTGATAGAAGTGTCCAGACGTATGCACCCAGTATTTTAAAGAAGAACATTTAATTATTTGCGATACATTATTCATTCACAAAGAATTCAAGGACATTATTCATGTCCCTAAAGGTTGGAGTTTTCCTCATTTTTTTAAATTAAGGCATTAAGATTTTTTATTCCTCTTTTTAGTCAACTTTAGCATGGGTGTGTGTTCACTTATTCTAAGCAGTGTGTGTGTGTGTGTGTGTGTGTGTGTGTGTGTGTGTGTGTGTTGTAAATAAATCCAAACAATCTTTTTTAAATCTCCTCATTCTTTGTGCAAGGCTCCTGATAATGATAGGGCCTGATAGCACACCTAATAGGGCCATTATGGGAGGGTCTTTGTCTTTCTCAGGTGTGGAATGCCACACATATTAATGAGAGATCACGCCTCCTCGCATAAAGCTTTCTCAAACAAAACACGTCATTAAAAATGTAAAAGACTTTATTGTCTTATCTGAATGAGTAGTCAGGATGATTCTCACATAGTTTTGGAGCAAATATTCTAGACTATGTGATACAATTTTCAAAAGTCTTGTGAAGAAATAATCAATATGTGTTTTGTGGCCTTATTTCAGAAACTTTTATTTTTAAGTTTTTCAATAACCATGCATAAATAATATTCTCTCAAAAATACAAACATGTACATACATGTTGCTCACATATCATGGTAGCCCCGTTTGTGCTATATAGAGTGAATTTACACCTTTGCCATTAACATGTTTATAAATAACTGAAAAAAGCACAAATGTCAGTGCATGTCAAAACATCCCAAGGGCCCCAAAAACACCCTGGTCCCCAGAGGGTTAACCAGCTATTTTTCCTTTTAGATATACACCACCGTTCAAACGTTTGGGGTTGGTACAATTTTCTTAAAGTCCCCCAGTAGTCAATAATTGTATCCCTTAAAACTCATCTTTGATCACCAAAATTACATACAGTATTTAAAAGTTGTTTCCTCGAAAAAAAAAAAACCTGTCATGCCTTAAAATAGCTTGAATGTAATTCTACACCCTTGGCTCATTTAGTATACGCCTCCGCTCACTTGCACTAGCATTTATTTGATAAAAAATACAGTAAAAATAGAAATATTGTGAAATTATTACAATTTATTATTTTCTATTTGAATATATTTTAGAATGCAATTTATTAGTGATGTCAAAGCTGAATTTTCAGTGGCCATTTCTCCATTTCTCCTGTTGAAAACAGTTGTGCTGCTTAATATTTTTGTGAAAACTGATGCGTGATTTTTTTCAAGATTCTTTGATGAATAGAAAGTTAAAAAGAACAGCAAATATTTTAAATATAAACCTCTTATAACATTATAAATGTCTTTACTGTCACTTTTGAATAATTTAATGCCCCCATGCTGAATAAAAGTATTAATCTTGATATGATTAACAAATCTAATATATAGTGACGTGACATTGCTCCAATCTGAGACACTCACAGTGGCTTTGGCCCAGCAGGTTATCCTTATTACTGAGTCCTGTTTCGGTACTCTTATTACTGCAATAATCGTCAGAAGAGATTCAAATCAAACGGAGGATCCACAATATCACCCTATGAAGTGTGTTTATAGACACAGATGATTTTCATAATCCCTCTGCCAGGGTTTATTATTCTATAAATATGAATGACGACAGAATAGCAGCTTATCCTCATCTCCTCACTGATCAGTGAGCTTTAATAAAGATGGGATGTGAGGAAGTTTCTTTATTTATATATAATTAGTAATTATGTGTAGTGAAAACACTCCACTGTGTTTTAACCAACTCTTAATTACTGGGAGAGATGAGGGTTTAATTAGTGCCCTGCGTCTTAAGGCTAAACCTGATCAACCCACTACTAGCAAACGTGCGCACACACACACACACACACTAAATTCCAGTAAAGCGTGTGTGTGTCGGTCCAAAGGGGTAGAATGTAATTAAGGTGCACTAGAGATCTATTTTCTAAATGAAAACTCAGCGTGAGTGACAGGCCAATACAGAAGAGAGTATCATTCCCCCTCCCACACTGCATCTGCCCCATGTGCTATTAAAGGGATGGTTCACCCAAAAATGTATATTATCTCATCATTTATTCTCCCTCATTTTATTCCAAATCTATATGGCTTTGTTTCCTGTGTGGAACACAACATTCTTCTGACTTTTTTCCGAGAAAAAAAAAAAAAAGTCGAATTTCTGACTCATTTTGTATTTTCTATACAATTAAACTGAATGGATATATCATGTATAGCCAGGTACTGAAAACAAGCAGCTTGGACATTGTGCTAAACATCATCTGTTGTGTTCCACACAAGAAAGAAAGTCATATGGGTGAGTAAATGATGACAGAACATTCATTTTTGTGTGAACCATCCATTTAACATTATAACTCTCTCTCTCTGTCTGTACAACAGAGGGCCAGGGGCCTTTAGGTTTTAGATCCACATCTCGTCTACAGCAGATGCAGGCTTCAGCCATCATTCTCTGTCCATGACCTGTCCGCTCGCTGTCGGCGAAGCCTCTCTGTAGAGATTTCCTGCCTGGATCTTTGATTGTTACTCAAATCCACCCTGTTGTTTTTTTTCAAAGACTTTGACTGCATTTACTTTTCAGTGGAGGCTGTTAGGGAGTTGTTTTTGATTGGCAGAAGTGAAAATCCAGGCATTCGATGAATGGCAGCAGTGCCAGAAGAGGCTGGGAAATAAAGGCCCAGATGGTTTATGAGAGTCTGACTGGGATTTTTGGGAGTTTGAGTCTGAAACATCTCTGCTTCAATCAATCTTTCCACTGCCACAAATTTGATTTTTTTTCTGTCTCTCTGCACATCAGCCTGCACCATCTATGTATTATACATCATCTTTATCGCTGATAGTGTTTGTTCTTTTTTCATATTTATTATGATTTCTACCAAATTCTTTTCTCTGCTACTCGTACACATTCGCCTCTGCCGTATCTCTTTCTCTCTACCTTTTTTCTCCATTCCTTTTGCTGTCTCTGATCAGCTTGTTTTCTTCTCTCTGTTGTTTTCAACCTGTCAATATTCTCAGTCAAATCATCCTGTCTGAACTTTATTTTCTTATACTTCACATTTTTATATCATATTACTTTTGTAAGCAATTAAACTTATGCTTTTTTTTGCCTAAAAATCCCTGAAGTATTAATTTAATTGGCCATATCTGGGGACTGGTATAATCATAGACACATGGGCTCTTTTGAATTAGCACAGTAAGCAGTGCCCTAGCAACCACAGAATACCTTGGCAACCACATGACAACAGTTTTTGAACTACCTCCAGTATTATGTCGGCGGCTTTGCATTTTTTCAGTATTCCAACATGTCCCACCTCCTGTGACAGGACGGGCTGGTAAGAGTTACTTACAAGTGGTCTGTGATTGGACAGCTCTCTCTCACTTTCTCTTCAGTTTTTTTCCTTGTAATTTTTTTTTTTTCTCTTCTGTTGAATAATTCATCTTAGCTTCTACGTCTTGCCTCTTCCAGGCCAGTCCCTCGCATCCATTAGCATAAAATACATCTTTAACTTTGTCTCAGTGTCTCTGTAAAGGATCTCTCATAAAGTGCTTCAGCCTCCTGCCTCGTTGCTGCCTCGTTGATTTATTTAGCTCTCACTCTGAACGAGCTATTGCAGATGCAATTTTTAGCCATGTCACTTGCGTGTTCACACCTCTCTCGTGTAAAACCATCACCTCTGCATCTGTTCTCCACCCCCAGTCTCCTCTAAAGACCTTTCATAATGGTTTTTGGCAGCTCATCTCCTGAACGCTAGGTCTCTCCCAGCAGGCTGAATGCAGAACAGCTCGCTAGCCCTGGAAGCTATGAGCTGTGACAGTGCTAATGGGCTCCTTTCTCATTCTTCCATGACACTATATACAGCAAGTGTACAGTATACACTCATCTGTCTCCTGCACACATCACACTTCCTGTTCTCCTGTTCTTCTTTGGAGAATATGTGTGTCCTATCTGTTCTCTGGATGGGTTAACACGCTTTTGTGTGAATCTTGGCACTCAGAGAGAGGATGGATGGATGGATGGATAACATGGATAGATAGATAACTTGGATGGATGGATGTATACATGGATGGATAGATATATAACAGATATATGGACAGACAGACATAAACAAATACTTTATTAGATGGATGTATGGATTGATATTGGATACCAGATAACTTAGACAAATACTGTGGCTGGATGGATGGATGGATAGATAACATGGATGGATATAAAACAGATGACATAGACAAATACTGTATTAGATGGATAGATGGTTATATAATTGGATGTACAGACAGACATAGACAAATACTGCATTAAACAGACAGTCAGATAGATGGGTGGATGGATAGATATATAACAGGTATATGGACAGACAGACAAAAACTGTATTAGATGGATGGATGGATGAATGGATAGATAACTTTGACAAATACTCTATTGGATGGATGGATAACATGGATGAATAGATAACATGGATTGATGTGTATATATATACATATATACCAGATATACTGTATGGACAGACAGACAGACATTGACAAATACTGTATTAGATGTATACAGACAGACATAGATATATATAACATAGATAGACAGATAGATAAACTCAATCTCTGTTTGCTGTCATGTGCACCATAGTTCAATATCAGAATAAATAACTCGGTGCCTCTTTTTAAATATTCTGTTTTTGTCCATGTCTTCAATATACCTGTCTTAATTTCAACAGCTCCCTCCGACAAGTCAACACAGATTGTTTACATGTTCTGTTGTAGGGGCCCATTACAAGCCATTACCAGCACAAATGACTCCCAGCCTGTCAAACACGCACTCACTCTGCAGTCATTAGCTGTGTCAAAGTGGAACACACACTCAATGGCTGTGTTTATAAGTGATTAGGTGTGTGCTGGTGTGTGTCCACACTGAATAAACGCCAGCGAAAACATGCTCACTTCAGCGCATTTTTATTGTAATGAGACTCCGTGTCAAGCCTGAATACACTTTTATAGCAGCATTCAGGCACATTAAAAGACTGAGCTTTGAACAGAGAGTAACCAAAACCGAGCAAGTTGAATAACCACGGTTGACTTTTCTTTCCTCAAGTTTAATGCATTTTCACAAAATTAAGAGTTTAGTTGTATCTAATTAGGCTAGTTTTGTTTTGTCAACTCCCTTTACTCTAAGCTTAAAGGGTTAGTTCACTCAAAAATGAAAATTCTGTCAGTAATTACTCACCCACTTGTCATTCCAAACCCTTAAGACTTTCGTTCATCTTCGGAACACAAATGAAGATTTTTTTTAAGAAATCTGAGAGCTTTCTGTCCTTCCATTGACAGTCTACGCAACTACCACTTTCAAGCCCCAGAAAGGTAGTAAAGGCATCATAAAAGTAATCCATGTGATTTAACCTCAATTTTATGAGTGCTTTGTTTGTGCCCCAAAAAACCCATAATTTAACACTTTGTTTACAAAATATAAGTTCGTTTGAGATCAATATTTTGTAAATGAAGTGGTATATGATTGTTGTTGTTTTTTTTTCATATAATTGAGGTTAAACCACTGGAGTCACATGGATTACTTTTGTTCTTTCCTACCTTTCTGGGGCTTGAAAGTTGTAGTTGTGTAGGCTGTTAATGGAGGGACAGAAAACTCGCAGATTTCTTTAAAATGATCTTCATTTGTGTTCTGAAGATTTACATTTAAATTACATTTATTGCGTAATTTAGCAGACGCTTTTATCCAATGTGACTTACAAATGAAGAGAGCAATTGAAGCAGTCAAATCAACAATAGGCCAATGATATGTATTATAAAATAAATGTATTTTATTCCTGTGATGGAAAAGCTGAATTTTCAGCATCATTATTAGTCTTCAGTGTCACACGATCCTTCAGAAATCATTCTAATATGCTAATTTGGTGCTCAAGAAACATTTCTTATTAGTATTGTTGTTAGTTGAAAACAGTTGTGCTGCTTAATGTTTTTGTGGAAACTGATGGTTTTTTCAGCATTCTTTGACTAGAAAAGGATTTATTTGAAATAGTAATTGCTTTTACATTATTCTACATTATCCCAAATATTTCTGTCACTTTTAATCAGGTCAATATGTCCTTGCTGAATAATGAATTTCTTTCTCATTAAAAATCTTGCAGACCTCTAGCTTTTCACGATATTCGCTTTCACAAAAGTTTAAGTCTCAGCTCTCCTCGGTTTATCCTGGTTTCTCTCTCTTGCTCTGCAGATCACACGTCTGTAGGTGGATTGGGTGATAGTTTCTATGAATACCTGTTGAAGGCCTGGCTAATGTCTGACAAAACCGACACAGAGGCACGCAAGACCTACGACGATGCCATCGAGGTGAGGGCTGCTGGTTGCCATGACAACTTGTGTTCTTGTGTTGTGTGTGTTCTCTGTTCATTCTCTCTTTCTCTCTCTTTCTGCAGGCTATCGAGCGCCACCTCATCCGCAAGTCCAACGGCGGTCTTACTTTCATCGGGGAGTGGAAAAATGGCCACTTGGAGCGTAAGATGGGTCACCTGACTTGCTTTGCTGGGGGCATGTTTGCCCTGGGGGCTGATGGGTCGCCGGATGATAAAGCTGGGCACTATCTGCAGCTCGGAGCAGAGATTGCTCACACCTGCCACGAAAGCTACGATCGCACTGGTTAGTGAATAAGAGGGGCCAGTTTGAAGAGTATAACAAAGAAACGCATTAGATCTTTGGACTTCAAATCTAATAGCTAGGTTTCAGTCACGTGATTATGATGACGCGTGAAATTCAGATGGAGGGCAGGGAGTGAAGAGCGCAATGGACGAGATGGAGGAAAGTCCGTACTGTACTACTTTACACGCTATTACAAGAGAAAGATATAAACAAAAAATCCAACATATGTTGGACGTGATCCTTACGTTATGAAGAGGAGCGATTTTCAACTGAATTGAAAGATTTTCCTGCCATCGAGGCGGTAGATATCAGCGACTACCTCGTCTTACAGACATACTTTGACTTTACAAAGTTCGTAAACGTTACACGTTACACAAACATAGCCACTTAAGTTGTATTAACTCAACTTTGACGAAGTGATCACTGCACAAACGGGCATTTTCCCATTCGGCTCCTCCCGACCGCAGACGTAGGTTTGCAAGCCGTTTTTCCAGAGATTTTCGGTCAATTTCTTGCATTTCCCCCCTTATGAACAACAACTTTTGGTACACGATAAAAACTCCTCGTGGTTTGATCGATTTAAGTAACCATAAACGACGCAAAACATAGGCATTTTGAGTTTGTTATAGTGCTTTCTAAATACAGCAAATCACTTCCTGCCCTCCATTTGCATTTCGCGCCATGGCAACGCAGTGGCGTGACGTCATATGAAAACAAGCTATTTGTAGCATGGTGTGTTGCCATGGGAACACTACAGGTTATTTTGAGAGTGTGCCATTTCTATTTCACACAACTTGACTGAGAGACCATGATGGATTGCAGCTCAGCCACTAGCTCTCAGACAGATAGTTTTTACATTTATAGCACGAGGGCCGAAGATTCAACTAATAGTGCTGAACTCCTAAACCTTTTATTGTTTGCAGTACTGAAGCTCGGTCCAGAGGCCTTTAAGTTCGACAGCGGGCTGGAGGCCGTGGCTGTGAGACAGAACGAGAAGTACTACATCCTGAGGCCTGAGGTCATCGAGACGTACTGGTACATGTGGAGATTTACCCACGACCCCAAATACAGGCAGTGGGGCTGGGAAGCAGCGCAGGTCAGCACCTCCCTCTACCTTTCCTGATGCTTCCATCTCTATTACCCCTTTTCCACCAGCAAGAACCAGGTGCTAGTTCAGAGCTAGTGCTATTGCCGGTTCGGAGTTGGTTCGACTGACGAGCTTTCTAAGAACCGTTTGCCTTTCCACAGGCCAGAGAGCCACCACAGAGCCAGGTCTTACTTCACTGTATACATCTCATGTTGCCCAGCAACGCTAGCGTGGCAGCGCCAAACACAAACACACTAGGCTTAATAAACGTGATTTGACTTGACTAGATAGTGCTGAATTGCAGAGCTTGTGCAAACATATCCACTAGGGCTGCGCGATACTGGGAAAATATGCAATATGCGATATTGTTGTTGAGTATTGCAATAACGGTATTTCTTGCGATATAACATTTCCCTAGAGAAATGCTATTTTTTAGGGCTGTAGTCAACCAAAGAAATCCTTAGTCGACCAAAGTCTTGTCCTGCGAAACGATTAGTCGACTAAAAAAAAAAAAAAAAAAAAAAAAAGACGCGATGTTTTGATTGAACATTTTCTAACAATTGTCATAGAGCATTTATAAAACAACAACGAAAAAACATCAAAAATACATAAAACTATAATAATAATACAATTCTTTGAAAATTAAGTGATTTTTTTTTTAACTGCAAAAAGTGAGGAGCTCTGTCCTAGGTCTATAGTGACAGTCACAATCGCGCATCTGACCACACCACACGCTACAAAAAATATAACTGCTATCTGCCACAATGAAAAATCCTAACAAAAGCTCTCGTTTATACAGGCTGTATATTCTTCTTTACTTTCAAAGCTATAGGTTAACTTTTGTCCAGCCTATCTAGGCGTTTTAAAACAAACACACACAAAAACCCAAAGAGCCTAAAAAACAATCCTAATAATAATAGGCTTTATTGTAGGACCGCATATAGGTTTATTTGCGTTTTGTTACATTATTTAGGCTATTTTCAAATGCGTCAAGTGTACAAATAAAAACAAAAACATATCAAGAAAACACAATCTATTGAGTCAGCATGATAAAGCCGTTAAAGGGACTGCTCACGTCTTTTGCGCGCTCAAGTTCGATTTCAAATGTAGGCGCGCGGTGTGCGCTAATGATGGAAGCAACGGTCGCGGTGCGACGCGCTCTTTTTTTTCCAAGTGCGTCCACGCCGCATCGAGATACAAACATATAGTGTATAAAAACATAAAAACCGAAACAAGTAGCGTTCTAACTGAATGAATACAGCTAAACTACCTATATCCCTTACTGAGCACGAAGCAGCAGCGCAGCCACAGGTGCGAACCGAGTGTTCTATGTGTGTGCGCTAAACTGTGGCGCTGTTACAAAATAGCCTAAATTAAAGCATTCAAAGTTGGGGATAAACCATAGGCTAATTATATTTAGAATACAGTAATATGTAACTGCTTATAAAGGAATAAATATCAAGGAGTAAATCATTGAAAATTTCTTTCTATTGGTAAAAAAAATAAATGCAACTGGTCGACCAATAAGAATGTCAGTCGACCAAGACGGCATCGACCGATTAGTCGACTAAACGACTAAAGTTGACAGCCCTACTATTTTTATTAAGCTTTTAAAAAAAAAATCATTTATATATGTAATGGTCATACTAAAATAAACAGGTAGGCTAAAAGATATTCTTCTGATCTTCAGAAGAATATCTCAGTTTTTTCAGAAGGAGTTACGATTAATGGTTGTCTGTGTGTCTCTTGTTATTGTTACTTGGCATTTCGTTAGCAGTTTTGGTAGATGTGGGCTTACACTTTTTGAACTCTTCATCTAGCTCCCTGAGGTTGCGTTTCAGATGACTGTGGAGATTAGTTTCCTCTCGACGTGGCCACAATTTTTCCGCACGACTTAGTGACACCGTCATTTATGTTCACATATCGCGTTTTTTGCACGTGCGAATTCGTTATTTCAAATGCAGGCGTGCGGCAAGCACGCTCAAAACGGAAGCACGGTTTTCCAGCCCGCCTACTTTGATTTGATTGGTCATCTCAGATATTCTGACATTGACGAGCAGTGACGGACCAATGAGGCTCAGATGAAAACACTTAATCACACTTTTTTGGGGGGGATTTGATTACACTATTTCAGATAGCCCGTCGGGCAGGCCGGTTATGCAATTTGGTAGCCCGCCTGGAAAACACAATAGCCCCGGGACGTCGGGCTAGCGATTTTGCGAGCCCTGTAAAGGGATAGTACTAGATTACAGCAAACCCTTTAAGAGCATTTTTGTGCTATACTATAATAAATGATACATTTCTATTTTACAGACTTCTAAGTTGAATCTCAAAATAAAATAGTTCTCCATATTTCATACACTGCATTTATGATGTTGGGATGCCTGTATTGAATAAGCATTACGACAGTGATTCAACGTTGGCAAAAACTATTGAGCTTTTTAGCTTGTACAGTGTCGTTTATCATCCAAAACGCGAAAATAATAATCGTCTTGTGTCAGTTCGAATTTTAATATCAGTGTAACCCAGTAAGAGGACAACTTGTTTTTAAAAGTGGTGCCGATGCAAAATTCTCCAGCACAAAGAAACTGTTCAAAAAAAGTTTGACTCCCTTCTCACCGGGCTGGTATCTCCAGCCATCAGAGTTCAGCCGGATATCAGAGACAGAATAAGGTCAGACTGAGTGTCTGGCACAGGATGTTCCTCAGTATCTAAACCCATATCTCATCGCTTTGATATCCATCTGTAGTCCCAGTCGCTCTATCTGTGGCATCTTTTTGCTGCTCGTGTTAGTCCTGTACCTCTCCGTCGGTATTTTTTAGATGTATCCCTCCCTTTCTTTTGGCCTAGGCTGTGTTTTTAGGGAAGTGTGTTTGTGTTTTTAGAACAGTTTCAAAGTGCTCTTGAGAATGGAGCGTCATTGTTGTCTCTCTGATTGGGTGTCATTGTTCTGCCGTTACAGTACTCTTTCTCTGCATTTGGGCTTCTTTTGATGAGCCACTGGGTGCCTGGGCTCTCTCTCCTCCTCTCCCTCATTGTCACTATCCCCATTTCTGTCAAAGAGAGCAGAATAAAGCTCACTTGTTCCCTATCACCAAAGTTCCTTTGTTGCTATTGCCTCTTTTTCTCTTCTAATTTGATCATTTTCTCTCTCCAGCTCTCTCTGTGCACCTCTTTCTTTCCAGGGTTTCAACGTCTCTTCTCCTTGCGATCCTGGCACTTTTCTTTGGCTAGATAAATGGTGATGTGTTGATCTGTTTGGCGTGCGTCTCTTGGATCAGTTAGGATTTTTCCCAGTTCTCACCATGTCTTTGCAAGATGGCCAGTTAGAAGTTAAACAAATGGCTTTGGTTTAATGTCGTCGGCTTGACAATTTGGTTATTTGAACTGCTGGAGTGTTTGCAGAGATGTTGTTTTATGGGGGAAATCATGTCATTCTGTCTAGGAATGATTATAGGAATTAATGGACAATTATTTTCCTTTTATGGCCGATAACCAATTAAAACTTAAAATCAGTTGCCTAAATTAAATTGCAGCATTTAAAACATCACAGCATTGCAAGGTACAGTATGAAAAGTTATTTTTGCTAATGATTATATTTAAAAGTAATTTTTTCAAAGATGTTGTAAGATTCCAAGGTAATCAAAATGGAAAATGGAGGAAAGGGAGCTGAGCTGAATCTCTGTTGAGTGGGTTAATGTGAGTCTGGATCAGGCCAGCTGCTGTTGTGTTGTAACAGTGTGAGGTGAGTCCTCCGTGTAGCAGCTGTTTCAGAAAGATCTGCTCCAGGTATGTGAGCACATCATGCCGTGTTTTCCTGGCACATCACTCCTGCCGGCAGAGGCTGAAGCAACGCTAATGGAGCGTTATTGGTTCTTGGAGAAAAAGAGCAGCTTCTTATGTTCTATTTCTGGCTTGTCATTACTGTGAGTACACAGTCATGCATTGATTTGATTTGCAGTCACAAAGTGGGGATTAGGACATGGTTTCACTTGATATTGCACATACTGTTTAGACAATCTTTCTGAGCTAATGCACAGGAAAAAGTACATCTGGAACTGACATAGCCTGAGTTACTCACCAATTGCCTGGTGACTTTATTAGAAACTGCAAGAAATTACATAGTTTAATTGAATTTGAGAACAATAGTCTGATGCTCTCAGTTTTAAGAAATCAAAGACATACGGTCATGACTCAAGCGTTAACAACCTTTTCCATGAAATGTTCATCTAAGAGGCTGACATTTTCTTTTTGTCTCAAGAACATCACGTATGTGAAAATATTTCTCACATTAAGCCAACAAAATGAACATTAAGAACAAAAACATGATGTTTTACCAAACTTCACTGTTTGTCACAAATATGCAAGAAAACAAATACAAAAAAAATTCAATTGTGATGGGGACACGTGTAAAAATGATATACAGTACCGTTCAAATGTTTGGGGTTGGTAGGGAAAGTCTCTTTTGTCCACCAAGGCTGCATTTATTTTGTCAAAAATAAGGAATAGTTCACCCAAAAATGAAAATTCTGTCATTTACTCGCCCTCAAGTTGTTCCAAACCTGTATGAATTTCTTTCCTCTGCTGAACACAAAAGAAGATATTTTGAAGAATATGGCTAACCAAACAGTTTCTGGTCCCCATTTTTTCTGGAAACCTTGATACGTTTTTGAATGGATAAATGATGAATAAAAACAACCCCAAACTTTTTATACTCTGTGTGTGTTTATTCTTTCTGTATATAACTTTCTTTTTCTTTTCTGCAGGCTATAGATAAATACTGTCGAGTCAGCGGAGGTTTCTCTGGTGTTAAAGACGTCTACTCCTCCAACCCCACCTACGATGACGTCCAGCAAAGCTTCTTCCTGGCTGAAACTCTCAAGTAAAAGTCATTCCATTTACTGATACACATAATGCGAGTACACATTATTATTGTACATTTAACACTGTAATAATGATCATTTACTACTATAATGCTCAACATTACTATGCAAAATACAGATGATAGCACTGTGAAAAGCAGTGACTATCAGCTAAACAAAGTAGGATTTGCAGAGTAAATTGGAGTGGAAAGACAGCCAGTCATTACTGCAACCTGCTGGTGCCATTGAGACACTGCAGTTTCTCACAAATGTCTTTTGAACGGGATACATCAGATCTGTGACCTAGTTTGGAACAGTATCATGTTAATTCTATGATCCCTGCATGTGTGTGTGTGTGTGTGTGTGTTTTTGCAGGTATCTATATCTGCTTTTCTCCGGCGATGAGCTGCTGCCTCTTGAGAACTGGGTGTTCAACACGGAGGCCCACCCTCTGCCCGTCCTGCACCTGGGCAACATCACCCTGCCTGGCAGCGAGACCCAGCGGTAGAGCGGACGCACCAGGGGGGCGCTCTCCCCCTCACTCGCCCCTTTTCTATACGCCTCCCTCCTTGTGAAAGACAGCAGCTGCTAGTGCAAAGGAGAGGAGAGAACTGTACCCACCAACCACTGTCTCCTCCTGGACTGTGAATCATGGGACTTCAGTGAACGGAGGAGACCGAACTCTCTTTATCTCTGTCTCTCATATATTCTCTGAAGGACAGACTGCCGGATTGATCATGTTCGTCTCTCTCTTGTGGCCGCTGGTCTGACACACACTGTACACACATTTGCGGACATAAAGACCTTCTGAAATGGATGTGCATTTCTCACCAAGGAAGGATTTTAACGAGTTTGTTCGTTCTTTCTTTTTTTTTTTCTCTCCAATTTGGCGGCGTTTCATGTCATCAGCTCAGCACTAAATCACTTCAAAATGGTGGATAAATTGTTCCCAGACCGGAGCCTTTCACTTTCTGAGCTGGGCTCCCGGAGACAGCAGATGTCGGATTTGACCACCTGTGAAATCTTTCTCCAGCTGAGGTTGAATTTAGGCCACAGGCACCCAGGGATGTTCTTTTCTCCAGGATTTCTCTTCAAACAGTCTCTCCGATGTCTCTGTTAAGGTTAGCGGGTAAAAACAGACACGTGCTGCTGCCTGTGAGACAGTCACCACCGTCATTCCAGAAACCTGCGCTTTTCCGTGTGTCTCCATTCCTCTCTTTCTTTTCATCCTTTCTGAATGCTCAATTTCATTCATACTGCTTTCTGAAACATGGATGGGTTTTTGCCATACATTGAATCATCAGTAACACTTGAAGCAGCAGCAGCAGCTGTAACTTGTGGAGAGGAGTCACAGTGCTTTAGATGCTTATTCTCACGGCCATCACCATTTGTTTTCAATTGTGGATGGTGTCGCTCTGTTAGACCAGACCAGGTTTTTTCAACAGCAGAGTTTTACCACTAATCGTAGCCAACGAGATAGAGATTTATATATATATATAAATATGGGGTTTAGAGTTCAGAAAATACACTGTGTGTGCCCTGTACAAGAAACCCAGAGTAAATGAAACCCAAAAACCAGTGCAAAGATTTTGAATCCAGTTGCATAATAACAAAGCCCATGATGTAGTATGTTTTAGACTTGGGAATACTCCTAAACTGAGGTCAAAGACTTTTCTTGTCATTCCTGTTTCTGTTCTTTAAAGTCAAACGCATATCTCTGAATATTTCATGTGAGTTTTAACATGACTTGATCCATGAATGTTTCGGTCCTGGGCTGTAAACACTTGAGAACCGGTGGTGGCAGACAGAAACAGATTCCTGATATCAGATGGTTCACTCGAGTTTGATCAAACAGCTAATCATATTGAAGTTTTTTATTTATTTTTTATTTTATTTGACCTTTAATGAATATTGATTCAATCTGTTTGGAAGACATGCTCAGCCTTATGCTCTTCGACTCATGTTTGTTTGTTGTAATCTTCTATCGTGTGAAATGGCACAGTCACAGAATATTTCATGTAGTTGATCGGAGAAGGAAAAGTTTATTTTCTGATTGAGAATCAGTCTTTCAAAAAGACTTGAGCACCTCTGGGTGTCATCGAAGGGTCTTTCTCTTTATATCCTGTTGGTTCAGTTCTTCAGTTTCTAAACCGCGTCCTCTCCTCCCCTCTAGATGGCAGAAGTGGTGTCCCATTTTCTTTTTTCCCCAGTAACATGACTTTGACTAATGGTGAGTGAAGCCCAGGCCAACACTCTTCCCTGGGGCTGCTGGGTGGGTTTCGAAAATGCTGTGTTCTGTATTTGTATTTTTACTGAACAAAAAAAAAAAAACAATAACTGTAAATATGTTTAAAATACCACACAAATTCAATAAAGATGTTACAAAAAGTGAATGGAATAAAACAAAAGCTTCTATTGTTAAGTCTTTTCTTACTGACTCATAAAAAAGACTTTGAACACTTACAGTGGAGGTCATAGTTCAGGTGGATCAGATGTCTTCATTTGAATGCAGGTTTCCCACAATCATAGAAGATCAGGGTGTATCAAGAAAATTGAAAATCAGAATTACCAGACCTAAAAATCACTAAACGTCTTTAAATGACAGAGAAAAGCCATGGATGTTTCTGTAGTGAATATAATTATCATATTTATGCTCACATAGGACTGAACGCTGAATCCTCCAATGAAGCCATATTCAAACCGTAGGATGAATTTTGTCCAAAATGTAAACACTACTGATCAAAAGTCATTTTTTTTCTAAAGAAATTAATTCTTTTATCGAGTAAGGATTCATTAAATTGATAAAGTGACAGTAATTTACAAAAGATTTCTATTTCAAATAAATGCTTTTTTTTTACTTTATTCATAAAAGAAACATGACAAATGCAACACAGTTTTACAAAAAACATTAAGCAGCAACTGTTTTTACCATTGATAAGTGTTTATTGAGCAGCAAATCAGCGTATTAGAAAGGTTTCTGAAGGATCATGTGACACTGAAGACTGGAATGATGCTGAAAATACAGCTTTACAATCAGGAATAAATTACATTTGAAAAATGTCCAATTATAAATATTTCACAATGTGAGTTTTTATTGTACTTCTGAACAAATAACTGGAGCCTTGATGAGCATAAAAAAAAACTTTTAGTGACCCCAAACTTTTGAACAGTAGTGTAAATGTTTGAATGGAAACTACAGTTTCTATGTAATATTATTTATTGCATTAGAACTAACAATATATATATATTTTTATGTAATGTAAACATCATGTATATTCCAATACCTAAAGCTGTGGGAACTTTATGGATTTGTAAATACTGTAAATTGCCTTTGTTCTTATATTATTCTTCTAACACATCCTAGATCGAAAGTAGATACAGTTTGTACATTTCCATTATTTCAGTAACAATGTTAGTGATAAATGGGCTATCTATTTGTTTTAAGGCCTTCATGCTCCTTTGCTCTTGGCAGCACACATTGATATTATAGGTCGTGGTGAACTGGTCCTGGCACATTACCCCTGCTCTCAGTATACACGTCATCCCCATTGCAAACAATATTTCACACGTGTGTTGTTGGTTGTTGTTGTTGTTCTCTCTGTTTAGCAGAAGCAGCAGATTTGAGGGCAAAAATTAGGGATTTCAATTTTTTTTTTTTGCTGCCCTCTGTCATTGAGCTGTCTGGTCTGACCGCAGCGTGACAGGACAGGATGGATGGGGGGCAAAAGAAGGAAGCAGAGGTCATGAGCTGGGTGTCATTTGCCGTCTTTCAACAACCCTAGTGACATCATGTTACCCCTCGGTATCATCTCCTCAACAGATGCTGAACGATGACTGATTTCTCTTTCCACACACATAGTGGTGTCCAAAACTGAGACCACTGGTGGAAATGCTTGTTTTTGCATATACAATATTACAATACAATATTGAGTTTGCATGAATCAGGCATCTTGTGCTTCAGCCGAAGCAAAAATAAATGTTGAATATTATGAACAGAGTGGTCTTCACCATCCATATAAACTTTAGAGACTACAAATATATTTTTCAAGGATGTATATATAGATTATTGGAGTAAGTTTTACTTGCAATTTCTTTGTAATTATTTCAAAGTGAATCTTACACCTAAATTTGTTCAGAGTAATTTAGGGTCATCTTAGGCCACAAAGTCAATTGCTGCTCTGTGGAAAACAGTGAGTGATAAGCTTGGATAAACTAGCATGTTGCAAGTGCGCAGTAACACAAGAGCGCCAAGGTCACTGTGAACCAGGCAGGTCAGCTGGCAACTTCTATTAATGATAGCAAACCGATTACACGCGTGTAGAGAGAGCTACAGTACCACTGGAGAAAAGAGATTTGACTTTCAGAAGAGCATAATGAGTTTGCAAACCCCTTGCTGAAAAAACATAGTTCTTTTTTTCTTTTTTTAAGGGAAATAATATAACCAAAATCATGTGTCATTTTGTGCCGAGTTTGTTTCTGAATTATGGTATAGGCAAGATGATGTTTTTTTATCATGCCTGATCTGACCTCATCAACACTGTTACTATACACTGAGTGCCAAAACATGTCACAGTGAATATCGTTGATAATAAGGCCACAGTAGATCAGATGGTAGGCAAACAATCAGTTCTTGTAATCAACATGTTGGATGCAGGAGAAATAGGCAGAAATAAAGATCTGAGAGTTTTTGACAAGGGCCAAATTGTTATGACAAGATGACTGGGTCAGAGTGTCTCTGAAATGGAAAGGTTTGCTTTGTGTCAGAAGTGGTGAGAATTTACCAAGAGTGTTCGGAGGATTGAGAAACCACAAAAGGCGACAGGGTGTTGGGCGCCCAAGGCTCATCGATGCAGAGGGCAACGAAGGCTATCCCGTCTGGTCTGGTAAATTTTGAATGATGGTTAAGGGAGGAATGTGTCAACACAACACACACTGCATCACACTCTGCTGCGTAGCCACAGGCCAATCCGAGTGCCTTTGATGACCCCTGTCCACCGGCGAATGTGCCGACAATGAGCACGCGAGTGTCGGAACTGGACCTCGGAGCAGAGGAAGAAGGTCACCTGGTCCGATGCGTCCTGTTTTCTTTTACATCACGTGGACGGCCGTGTGCTTGTGTGCTGTTTACCTGGAGAAGTGGTGACACCGGGATACACTGTGGACGACGACAAGCCGGTGGAGGGAGAGTGATGCTCTGGACAATGTACTGCTGGGAAACTCCGGATCCTGCCGTTCGTGTGGACGTAAAATTTGACACGTGCCCCCTACCTAAACATTGTTGCAGAACAGGAACACCCTTCATGACAGTGGTGTTCCCTGGTGGAAGTGGGATAATGCACCCTCCCACACTGCACACATTGTTCAGGAACGATTTGAGGAACATGATGAAGAGTTCAAGCCAGGTGTTGTCCTGGCCTCCAAATTCCCCAGATCTCAATCCATTTGAGCATCTGTGGGATGTGCTGGACCAAGTTCAATCCACGACATCTCCACCTTGCAACCTACAGGACTTGAAGGATCTGCTGCTAATGTCTTGGTCCCAGACACCACAGGACACTCTTGTAGAGTCCATGCTTGTTGTAGAGTCCATAGTTTTTTTTTTTTATAGTTATAGTTATGATAAAAATGATGCCAAACAAGGGTTTCTTTTACAGGAAATTCATATTGGGTATTATTTATTTATTTTTGAATAAATGAATACAAAAAATTATCTGCCGTATTTAAAAAGATAGTTCCCCCAAACCTGCAAATTCTGTCATCATTGTTTCACCCTCATGTTGTTCGAAACCTGTATGACTTCTGGGGAACACAAAATATATATATATATATATTGAGAAATGTCTCTGTGTTGGTCATCAAAACTGTTTGGTTATCACCATTCTTCAAAATATCTTCTTTCATATTCCACAGAAGACAGAATGTCACCCAGGGTGAGTACATGATGACAGAATTTTCAGTTTCCCTTTAACTAGCTTCTATCAGCTGACAGATGAATTTGTCCAGCAGTTGAGAGCCAGTTCTCCAGTCCCTCCAGTATTAACCGAACCCCTCTCCCGAGGACACATGAGACCCCTTGCATCGTGTTTTTGTATTTCACAAGCTCTGAATTTTAATCAATAGATCCCAGAGGGTTGCTGATGTCACAGGAAGGAGAGGATTATGAATGTCACTATGAGTCACTATGTGAACTGATAGACAGGGGAAAAAACAATTGCGTGGACGTCCACATACGTAGTGGAGAGTTTAATGTGTTAATGGGCAGTATGTGCGTGTGCGCGCCTCCTTCAGTGTGTTTAATGTGTTAATGGCCGCCGGTTAACCATCCGTAGCATGGACAGTGAGTCATTTCCACTTGGCCCTGGTCCAAGCTGGAGCAGGTGGCATTGCCCCTCCTCACAAACTAAATGACATTCACCTTTGAACAAAACACTGCTTCATTTCTGCTCGATTCAGCCCTCTCTGTGATGTTTATTTATTCTATAAATCCACCTGGGAAGGAAAATGCTTGCTTAGCCTCATAAGACTCCATGTATTGTTAGATGTTTCTCAAAGGCTTTGAATGTGACATTTGGTGCTGTTTGTTTGATGATGCTGAAAGAAATCTTTGTTTGATGGCTGTGTGTTCTCGTGCTTTTAGCAAATCCAACAAAGGAATGACAGATCATGGTTCAGATCTCAGAAAGTCAGAAGCATATATGGATTTAATGCATGAACCATTTTTTATTAGTCTTATGAGTTACAGTCATTGTTTATTTCTGAGGTCCATGTGTGAATGGTGACAAACTTTTGTGATGTAGCTTCCTGTGAGCAAAGTCATAGAATAACTTGTGGTCATGACTCATGTCCTTGTTTTCAGTTGAAAAAATCTTACTAAGAATAGGTTCACTAACCTGTTTGGGCAGATGCGATCGACATACTTTAGTTCTCTTACGTAGCACATTGTTCATGCTTCATCCTTATTTGAATGCAAATGCATCAACCTTCTCAGAAGCATAATTGTGGATTTGAACACCCTTGCACGCTTAAAAATAATGGTTTAAGGGGGGTTTCACAGCAATACCACAGAAGAACCATTTTTGGTTCCTCAGAGAACAGTTCTTAAAATAGCCATTTTATTGTTCTTAGTGTGAAGACCATTTAAATATATACAGAACCATATATATATATACATATAAAGAACCTTTTCTCACTGTATTTGTGCAATGGAACCACAGATGCCAATAAAGAACCTTTATATTGAAGAGTGAGTGTATGAAGTAAAAGCTATAAGCTAAAATAAAGCTTTCATTTATTGCTGTCAACATCGACTGGGTAATATGGTGCGATGGTTCCCTATAACAATCTTTGATTTTCATTGCTGTGTGTGTATGAATTAGCTTGGGAATGACACTCCCATCATAAATGTAAGTGGCGCAGGGAAATAGCATTTTGTGTGTTTTTTCCTTATCTTGTATAATTATGAGCAAGTCCTCACTATTGACGTGATGTTAGATTAACACAAAACTGATAGGACAGTCCCTCAGATCCAGTTTCTAATTCTCTCTCTCATTCTCTCTTTCTCAAGTCATTCACAAAACTGATTGTGATTGAGACCCAGCACACAAAACTGGAGTTTCCTCGCATGCAATTGAGCAGTCATTTCCTGTTTTGCTTTCTCATGTCATTTATACCCTCATCATAATTAAAAAAGAAAAAAGGTTTAGAAGGAAGCAAACAGACAGACAGGAATATCCCTCCCTCGTATTTCCACTGGAGGCTGCACTAGGTCTGACGATTTACTCAGAAGCATCAGCGATATGCGGTATGTGATGTTGTTGCACTACTTTCCTATAGGGTTTCTCCAGTTGTGCTTTTACACCCACTTATTGTTTTACTCCCTCTAACTCGCCATCCACAATTTCACTGACATTCTGTATGGACCACTCAGTGTCTGTCTGTTGGAGTGTCACTTAGTTCCAGCTTTTCAAAGACAACTATTAATTAGTGTCTGTTTTTCTCACAGTTATGAAAAACACCACATACAAAAGAGCATGTGTGTGGGTGGGTTATGTTTGTGAGGGCCACATCTTTAAAAATGTCCATATGTTTTTGAAGTGGTCCTCAAAATGATAAAGGCACATCAATTGTTTTGCTTGTAAGTTACTCTGCTGGTACTGACTCTACTAATATAAGCAGTTGTGTGTGAGGGATAGGTTAGGTTAGCCCTAGGCTAACTAGTAGGTTATTTATAATCACTATATAGGTGATATATAATATGTGAATATTTGCAGTTATAGTGTACCTGACGACATTCTTGAATATTCTAGGCTTTAGAGAAAAAAGTCAGCTAGATTTATCAAAAACATGTCTCATGAGACATTAGCAAATTATTTTATAATTTTCACTCTGACAAAAAGTAGTTGAGGTTTAAATATTCCTGACATCCCAGCTTATCTAAGGCACCTGTAGAAAACAAAAAAATTAATTATTTAATCAAACCCCAAACCTCAAGTTATTGTCAAATGTGTACTAGTCTACTACTTTTTTTTCTTTTTTCTTTTTTTATTGAAGGCAACATTGGGTACAAACGTGTTAAACCATCAATATACAAACAAACATTCATTTATACAGCCATACCATACCAGAGACAAAGAATAAAAAAAAAAAAAAAAAACCATACATACTAAATAAAGGTGGAAATATAAGAAAATTAAGAGGAATTGGGAAATAGGTCATAATATGGACACAAAAATTTTCCATTCTTCTTGTTCTTTACAAGCTTGTGTGATTTAAGAAGCATATTAAATTCCAAAATATACTAGCCTACTACTAGGTACTCAAGTCTCTCAGCTACTCTGCCAAAACCGGACGTCAAATTCGACATGTGCCTGTGGTCGCCTGGCAACACAAAAACCTCTTCAGCCAATCGCAGGCTTGGGCTGGCGCATTGATACAAGCGAATAGAACGCCGTATGTTTTTGAATTCCATATAGAGCCTTTTTAGTCTATTGATGCCTTTTAGTGCGGAGCTCGGCACTGGAGTATTTGTAAGTACAATGCAGATTGTTATTTATTTAGAATATTTGATTGTTATAGAAAATAAATATTTGTATGTTTGACCCACGTGATGATGGCATGGCTTCAGAAATATAGTGCGCAGTGGAGGTGCGTAGAGTCAGGTTGTTTTGTAGGCAGTTATAAGAGAGCGCGCCGCGCATGTGTCTGCTCATCAGAACTCTAGCGTTTGACGACTGAACAGATGGATGGAGGAGCTGCTGTTGCTAAACCTTATTTGACATCCACTACTTTGTGCCGACCACGTTGCTGAGAACTTCAGGTGGATTTCTTGAGAACAGTAGGTGCGACGTTTTTCATATTTATACTTCATAAGCGCGTTGGATCTGTGTGATTTGGATGCAATCGTAAGATTTATTTTACTTTTGAGATTAATACTGCAGTTATATTGGTTTGGTTGGTTTGAACGGTGACCTCGCGCAGATTGTGGCTCTTTCGATCTCACGTGCGCTTTGTATCAAACGATTGGTTTTCATTTATGCATCATACTCTTGAGTAAAGAGCTCGTTTTGAATCTTTCAAGTAACTTATGCATTGTATTTCGAACATTGTAGTATGCACGTTTTACCTGCTTACGTTGCATGTAGTTATGACTAAAGTTTATATTATCGTGAGTTCGCGTGATGAGTGCCATGTATCAAAACATCTTATTGTTATTTCCATCATAAGTTGGAACCAATCCAAAAGGAATCAAGCGTGCATTTTCCTATATTATTCCAACATAAAACAAAATGGAAAAACATGTACGTTTTAAAAAATTTTGTTTTCAAGGCAATTGTGGTTGCCAAACAGAATAAAATTCCCTGTAAGACATCAATGGGAATTAAAAATTGTTTTAAAGATTAAGACAAAACATTATGGTTACATTATTGTATCCTGTAGGGACCATATAAAAAAACTGGGGTTTTTTTTAAGACTACCAACTTTTGTATTTTTATTTGATTCCATTTTGTATATTTGAAATTCTTCTGATCGTTTTAAAATTACGATGGAAATCCTGTTCACATTCTTTGTTGTTTGGCTCAACCCTGTCAGAGTGTCATATTCATAATTTATCAATTGCATAAATCGTCAAGTTAATCAGTGTGCATGAATTATTAAAGCTCTTTTGGGATTTGTTTGGATTTTTTTTTTTTTTTTTTTTTCAAATTGGAATCATGATGAATTAGTTGAGGAGCAGCTGAGTGTCACCCATTATAAATGCTTCAGTTCTGTGTTTGTTTGGCCTTCTGGAAAGCCTGAGAATCATTGTTAGCTTTTCTGTCATGAGAGTGGTGAACCTGTTAGACTGTATAAATGCTCCTTAAGTACATGGTGTTTAACTTCCCTTAGGCTCATTATTCCAACTAAATATGAGCTATCTAGATAGTTTAAGAGATTTTTGAAAATTGAAACTCAGTGAAATTGTTTTTGCACTTGTCCTAGGAAACCGCATAGATGGCAAACATGGCCTCAGCCTCATCCAGCAGCGAAAGTGAGTCACAAAGTGTGCTTTCCTGGGAGCAAGTGAGCCGCTTGAACGATGTGCTGACAGAGGTTGTGCCCGTCCACGGACGTGGCAACTTTCCCACCCTGGAGGTCCGGCTAAAGGATATCGTACAGATGGTGAGGAACCGTCTGGAGCTGAGTGGTATTACAGTCAAAGATGTGCGTCTGAATGGCTCCACTGCTAGCCACGTACTGGTAAAGGACATTGGCTGGAGCTACAAAGACCTGGACATCATCTTCAGGGTAGACCTTCCTCGGGAAGAGGAGTTCCAGCTCATCAAAGATGTGGTTCTAAGCACTTTGTTAGACTTTCTGCCCGAGGGGGTGAACAAAGAGAAGATCACTCCTATGACTCTGAAAGAGGCCTACGTCCAGAAGCTGGTCAAAGTCTACACCGAGCAGGACCGCTGGTCCCTCATCTCGCTGTCCAATAACAATGGCCGCAATGTGGAACTTAAGTTTGTGGATTCAATCCGGAGACAGTTCGAGTTCAGCGTGGACTCCTTCCAGATCATTTTGGACTCTGTGCTGTCGTACTATGACTTCTCAGAAAACGCCATGTCTCGGCACTTCCACCCTACCGTGGTCGGGGAGAGCGTGTACGGTGACTTTGCCATGGCTCTGGACCACCTCAGGAACAAGATGATTGCCACCAAACGGCCAGAGGAGATCCGTGGAGGTGGTTTGCTCAAATACTGCAACCTCCTGGTGAGGGACTTCAGGCCCACGGACGAAGACGAATTTAAGGCCCTGGAGCGCTATATGTGCTCCCGTTTCTTCATTGACTTTCCCGACATTGGTGAGCAACAGCGCAAACTGGAGGCTTATCTGCAAAGCCACTTTGTCGGTGAGGAGAAGAACAAGTACAACTACCTCATGATCCTGCGGCGGGTTGTGAACGAGAGCACCGTGTGTCTCATGGGACACGAGAGGCGGCAGACACTCAACCTCATCTCACTGACGGCGTTTCGGGTGCTCGCCGAGCAGAATGCCATACCTGATGCGTCCAGCGTCACCTGTTACTACCAGCCGGCTCCGTACGTCAGAGACCTGAACTTCAACAACTACTATGTGGCCTCTTGTAACCAGTCCATTCCAACTTGGTTGCCTTGTAACTAAGACAAATGATTCTTGTTCAACAACAAAATCCACGAGTTGGCTAGAAAAGCTGCATTTTTGGCCATAAGGGATGTTTCCCTCTGTAGGCATAAAGGATCTTTAAAATGACAAGTGTTTCCTTTCCTTTTTTTTTTTTTTTCTTTCTTTTTAATTCCTTCTCCGCAGAGGTGCCAAGATGTTTTTGATTCAAAGTGATATATTTTAGCGAATGAATTAAACACTTTTTTTTTTTTTTGCTTTTTTTTTTTTGCCCTTAATATTCTAAAGTGTCCGATTTGTTTGCTCTCATCGCTGTCATTGCTCTGAGAGATTATTTTTTTTCCATGTTGAAAAGAAACAATTCCCACAGTGCCTTAATATATTGTAACCCTAAAAGTGAAGGAAATGCACATTGGGGCAAAGTTATATTTTTCCTGTGATACAAAATATAAAGGCCAAAAAAAAATAAAAAATGTTCTTAGAAATTGAGAGAGAAAAAAATTACAAAAAATTGAGAGAAAAAGATATGAAAAATGTGAGCACAGGTGAAATGGATATTTTAGGTCTCAAGTTATCAGGAGATTTTGATTGTTTTTTTGGTACACTAGTGGGCAGCTAAAGTTCATTTTGTTCTCATGAATAGAAATGTGAACCGAATCATGTTGAAGTATTCATAGCAATGTGCTTCAGTTTGCTGTGTGAATGCATACAGATGACTTGAGTTCTACTGTACATTTTGTGCAGTTTGTAAACTTGTTCAGTCTTACTAGTTACATCCAGGGTGAGAAATTGAAATTGGTTTCAGCTTTTCCTATAGAGCAGTAAAAAGTCATTTTAATGAACTAGATTGATAAGGAACCTTGGATCTACTGGTGGGTTAAATCTTCCCTTCATATCTCATTAACATTGTGTACGTGTTTAAGTGGGACAGAGAGGTCATGGTTGTCCATACAAGGATCAACTGTTGGACGATGGGTCCTCCTGAGCTTTTTGCAGCCATTAGCAGACTTAGCATTGCCGTGTGTAACAAGACCTCCAGCTAACAGCCTAGCCAAATAGTGTCACAGCGCTCTAAAATTATCCCTTCCTGGACCTCTCGGGATGTGCCTTGAATGGACAGCATGTGGGATGGAATTTCTAGTGGGGCGAATGTCTTTCCTGTGCTTCTGATTCGCGTCACTGTAGATGTGAATGCTGGTATGTCACAAGGCCTTTTCTGGTAGTTGAGGTGTTGGAGGGTTCACCGCTGTAACCGGGGGATGTACCAATGCTCAGTCAAATGGATGTAAAAACGCATTGGTGTGGATTTCTTTCCAGGTTTGGATCTAATCGATTTTACTGGGGTTGCTGCTCTTGATCTTTATTGGGCTTCAGTCTCCTGTCTTGGTCCTTTGTCAGTGAATTTGACGTAATGGCTTCAAGGAACATTGTAATTGTCAGTTGGGTAAAATCAATTCCTTGCTTTTTGTAAGTTAGACATTATTAAATTGTGACTTCCTATTCTTGTCCGTTACCCCCCCCCCACCAATCATGCCCACGTGTAGTTCCTCTTTCGACAGTCATCCATTCAGAGAAGTCTAGTACTCCGCTAGCTACTGTTACGTAATGGCTGACAGCTGTCCCCTGCCCCTCAGGTTCCCTCTTCGTCTCTGCTCACGCGCCTCAGCTCCTGCTGCTTCAGCTTGTACAAGCACATGCGCGAGAACCATGAGAGCCACGTTCCTTCTCTTATCAGCCGTCACAGACTTCTAGGGTAATGAGAAGGGTCACATAGCCTCCCTTTCAGTGGGTCACACCCCAAAGTGTATTGAGATGAAATGGATTTTACTCTTATGATGGTTTTTTTGGGGGGGCCCCTACACCTTTGTATAATTTTGGGACATGCAGACTTTGGACCAATGTTTGAACCAGCAACACAGCACATATGTGCCTTTTTTTGTGGTCCCCCATTTGGGTTTAGCTTATGACTTTATGCGAAATGCATGTAACGACCTTGTAGCTCAATCCTCTGGTTTCAAAACAATTTGGTTCCATTAAATAAAGGTTAAGGAGGATGAATGACATGGACAACTAAGAATGCAAAGTTTTTTTTATTATTTAGCCCCAGTTATACCGTATCAAGTCATGTCACACCCTGCTTTTTCTGAGTGTAGTTGTGTAGTCATTCCAGTTGTTCTGAAATTTGAATGTCTTTTCCTCATCCTCCTAACCAAAGCAAGTATTGTGCACTACACAGCGTTTTCAAAATCTCGAAGGCCAAATTGTTAAAATACCCATTTCAATAAATGCACTTTACAGGCTTTGTCATACTCCAAAGCCCTGTGAACACAAGCTATAAGGTGTCTTTTTTTTTCTTTTCTTTTTTTGTTGTCTCAGGGACATAAAGGGCTACAGTCTTGATGGTAACAACTTCTGTTCAGCGAAAGTAAAAGTTGAACTGTTTGAAATGCTTTGTCTTACAACTGAGATATGAAGTAAAATGTCAGCGCACCAGGAACAAGTACTTCTGTTTCAGAACTGGTTTCCCCCTCCTTTTTTTTTTTTTTTTTTTTGCCGTATAAAGGGCACTTGTATGATCTGTAGTTGTTGGCCAACATAATTATCACCTTAATCTGTCCTTTTATTGATCATGTGTATTAGTCTAAAAAAAAAAAAGGTATTTGTTTAGTTTTTATTTTTATCTTGTGCAGATGCACTTCATGGATAAGGCATGGTGTGATGAGGCTTGGTTCATTTCCTGTTTAAAGTATGTTTCATGGAAAGGGAGTGTTGAAAATGGGAAAACATGCTTTTGTGTATTGAATTCATATGGTGTTCTTTTTATTTTCTTTGTCCCCGCTGTCTGCTGTAATTCCATATTCCCAGTGTTACCCTTTATTCATTAGACAAAGGTGTTGGAGCATTTGTTACCGCTCTGAATGCATCTGTAACTGTGTGTGCAGGGGAGGTTTATTGGATTTGGATATGCTTGTCTAAAGTGCTAGTCTTGATGATTGAGGCCTTTTTGAAGCCCTTTTGCAATGTTGCAAGTGGAGTTGTGGATTTCAGCACATTTTGTTTACGTTTTTTTGTGATTTATTTGTCTTGTTTGTCTGTAAAGATGCTAATGATTGTGAGTTTAAAAAAAGTGAAAAATGGAAGTCGCACTATTATTTTGAAGTAGTTCTGTCGGCTCTCTGATGTCGGCGTGGTGATTAATGTAGATTCATTATGCCATTTTGTTTCAAAGCACTTTTACCTCACTATAATTTTCCTTTGGATGGAATTGAGAATAAGGAAAATGTGTATCAATGGGAAAAAATAAAGTATTGAAAGCCCATTCTTTCTCAAGCTCTTTTCTTTGAAAGTAAAACGTTTTCTATAAAATTCTAGTGTTCTACAAATGTAAAATCTACCTGAATAAGTTGGTTTTTAAATTCTTGCCTGAACTAAGTAAATTCTATGTTAGTACTCAATTTAAGCTTATGGAAATTAAAGTGTAAATAACAATGTTATAAAATTAAGTAAAACCTGCACAACTTTCTGATACTGGTGTTCCCATCATGCACTTGGGCATGAATAATGTGGTTTAATTTTTGGTTAGGTTTAGTAATGTGCTGTTTTGTGACATCTGCAGTTCATTTTCTACTCCATTCATAATCAAATGATCCAACGAATGTGACCGTTATTGTGTACCAAGTATTGTGAGATCTGTGCTCGAGTGGGTTCCACATTACTTATATGTTGTCAGAACATCTAAGTAATTTAATACAGTAGATAGTGTAAAGCATACACTTTAAACGCATGGCTTAATTCAGTGTTCTATTATAGTAAAATGTACAGTTTGAAACAGTATTGCAAAGTAAACTTCAACTAAGTATAAATTACTCCAACTTTAACTGGCCAAGTTAAAATTGTTCATTTTACTTAACTTGATTAAATAGATTTGACTTAATTCCATATGTGAAATATGCATCTAAAAACTAAAAAAGTCAATTTTACTTAGATTTGCTGTTTGAAATGGAGGGACACTTTATTACAGTGTTTTCTCGTAATGGTGGAGACTGATAGTTTCAAGTGTTTGAATGATCCGTGTTCACTGAGGTGTTTATTCCCAAGGGCTCTTTGGCCCATGTGGTGTTCATCTCTGCTGCCCTTAAAAGCACAAGTATGAATCAGCAGTCTCTGCTGCAGGCTGGAGCTGCTCTGTGGCTGATATACATAGTCCTGATCTATATCAGTCACAGTGGGCTAAACATTTAAAGGTTTGGTTGCACTTTTTCTTATACATTATGTGCTAAATGAAACATGTTTATCTCCTATTCTTTAACATGTCTCCATTTACCTTGAGATTTGTACTGGTTAACAAGGAGCTTGACATAAAAATGTAGCACAAGGGTTTTGAGCTTTGTTAAAACTTATCTAAGCGTGTAGTGAAATTCCCTAACCGGTTTCTTTTGCATTACGTTTCAACAAGCGCACGGATAAATGCTTCCAGGCATTCTAATGGCATTTAAGAATTGTATTATAATTTGTTTTAAATGCATTCTTTTTTTATTATATAAACAAATTTGTTTATATATATATATATATATATATATATATATATATATATATATATATATATATAGGAAATAAATGGAAACATTTGTGAATTTAATTGTTTTAGCACAAAGTGTCAAATATTAAAAGGGATAAGATTGCTTAAATTATGTTATATAAATTATTTTTTGATATACTTATTCATTTTAATATATTTATAAAAGTGGCAACTTTCATCAACTTTCATTTAAAATGTTAGTTTAATTTGATTTGACAATTTAGACTAATACTTGAATAACCGATGACAGACAAATCAGAATACCAGTAAAAGAGATTTATCTGAAAGGACAAATTATTCTATGACTTATGTACAAGCATATAAATATGTACATGTTTAATTGCCAATATTTTTAATTGAAGATAAGTCATAGAAACATTGTGAAATCAAATTTTATGATTTCACTCAACCTATAGGTTTCAATGAAAGCGAAGATCTAATTCATGGAAATAATAATAATCTCATTAATTACAATAAGTAACCTATTAAGTTTAAAAAATAACAATACTAGTATTTTTTTTTTTCAACCAAGTGGCATGTTGTTAGTTAACAA